ACTTATCTTGAAGGTCACGTCTGGCCAGCTGTTATCATTTACTATTAATATCTATCATGGAAACATTCATTGTGACTGTAGACGAGCATGTTTTATGGATTTTTAATAAAAAGCTTGCTTTCTTGTGTTGCATTCGATATAACTTATTTTTTACCAATAATAATAAAATAGAAGTTGTCCCTTTAGATGAGACCGCTCTACTCTTTAAAAAATGAGTTTTGTGTTATTCGATGTTTCGCATGTTTTTTTCCAGCTGTCTCCCAATACTGTGACGAAGGTTGGTTCCTGTATGGTGACAGATGTTTCCACATCGCAACGTCAGAAGGGTCACTATCATGGCACGAGAGCAATGACGCCTGTCAGGAAAAGGGTGGTATATTAGCAGTTATTGATAGCCCAGACATTCAGGTAAGAGAATGTTTTATATTATTCTATCTGGATAGCTATGGTGTTACGCCCCTTCATAGGTGAGGGATGGATTAGTGATACATTAGTGATTTTCCTTGGATGAATTACTCGTATTTATTATGACTCCTTCGTGCATATGGCATGTAATTTCCAATTTGTAGAATTTCCTCGGAAAATTCACAAAAGAGAAGAACTGGATAGGTTTGCAAGACATTGATGAAGAAGGAGAGTTCTTGTGGTCTGATGGAAGAACACTGAAGGAGACAAGATATGCGTGAGTATACTCATATTTTGTAAAAAGGATGTACCTAATTCTGTTTACGGATTACAACATAGATGGCGCTGTTTAAAGCCTGCATGCCTCGTCGAAATTAGCACTATTGTTTGTTAATGTTTGTATCCTATTTTTTGTTTGCTGTTTATTTGTTTTTTACCTAAGTCATTGGGAGGACGGCGAACCTGACAAAGACGCGAGTAATACTAAAGACTGTGTTGAGATGAAGACGAACACACGATGGAATGATAGGTCCTGTCAGGATGAGGCCGTGTCTGATGGATACATGTGCCAAAAAGGTGTGGGTTGAAATATAATTGAAATATCGGAGGCAAAAATTTAGAGACCAATGCATTTGTAACACCATTTTTATTAACTCTATTTAAAGTATTTAACTCTAAACACTCAACTTATAATGTCCAGAAAAACAATCTAATTGAATTAATTTCGAAATAAATAAAAATAAAGGCGGTTAAGGAATATGTATTTAAGATTTGTATTACGAGTTTTAAAGTTTACTCAAATTGCTTCGAAGTAGCCATGGCAATACCATAGCATCTACGTAAATCATAGAGGATTATTATATTTTCTCTTGTAGATGCAGTACATAATAACGATGGTAAGTCAATCGTATCCTGCAATTCGCACATACATATTCTGATTTCAAGTCGCTTATATTTTACGCCAATAGTAAAGTGCATGCGAAGATAGGATCGATGTTTGGGCGTGCTTTACGTTTTTCATTTCCAAAGATACCCAATTACAATTTATGATATATCGCTTTTAAGTCCTGTATTGTATACACTGATCCATATATTGAATACAACCCATGTCTAATTTCACATCTAGGTCTGAGCGATGGTGATATTGCCGGAATCGTTCTCGGTGTGATCGCAGGAGTGCTGCTCATTCTAGTGATGATATTTGCCGTGTTGTTGTGTCGCGAAGGTCGTCTAAAAAGACCATACATAACGTGGAAATGAGTACTGGTGATGGGATGTGCGTGATTTAGGGGGAGGGGTATCTATTGATGAAACGTATATTACCAATTCATGTAAGGGACGACGTCAAAAGATCGATGGCGGATAAAATACTTAATTCCTTTAGTTTTTTTCCAAACACCCCGACTGAAACTTAATTGATAAATATTGGTGAGGCTATGGCGTCAGACTACATTCACCATTAAATACAAATTGATAATCGGACAGTAGTATTGCATAGCAGTTGGCTGTCGGGTGGGTGTAAAAAGATTTTACAAATGCACCTTATTTGACGCACAGATTTACACTCGAACCAAACCATTTTTCTTTTTTTTTTTCCTTTTTTCTTTTTTCGGTTATTTCTATCCATGATTGGATAGAAAAAAAAACGAACTACAAATACTCCAAGATTTTTTTGACTTCATTAAAAAATATAATCGTTTTCGTAGGATGGAAACGTTTTGAGGTAAAAAAAACCCCACCCCCAAACTAAAGGAAATAAAGTTTTTTGACGTCGTCCCTAAGCGGATGTAGCATTTTTATATCATAAACATTTTTAATTGTTTGAGTATAAGTACTGATTAAAATGAATTTTATTACTCACAAATGTAATACTTAACTTAAGTTTGTTTTCAATGAACCACGGACAAAGTAGAATTAATTTGTTTAATTGATTATTAAGCTTGTTTTCAATGGCGTTAAACTAGACGTTCGCCGTAGGTGGCGTATTTCAATGAAGAATAACATTGCTTTCATTTGATGTGGATTATTACCAAACGCTTCAGCGTGGTATTAAGAGTTTGTTTTCAGGGGTGGGTGATACCAAGGTGGGAAATGGATGCACATATGGGGTTAATTCCTTGAATTGCAATATAGAGGGTTCAGGCTGAAATACAATATATAGTGTTTTCATGTTTCGTCTGATATTTCTGTGGTATTCTGCTGCTGTAAGTAATGCACGATTTGTTCCGAAATTCAGTATATTGTGTGTATTCCAGGGTTATTCGTTTTTTGCTGAAAACACCCCTATTTTTTAGTGGCAGAGTTTGAATAGTCTCACTCCCACTGGGAAATCTGTATTGTTGCTTGAATGTGAGTTAATTAAACACATTTTCCAGACCGGCGAAAGAGTATGCAACAGCCAATTTTAACAGCCTGTCACGTGATTTTAGTCTGAATGTCAACATGAAGAGGCTAGTCCATTTTACGCAGGAGTAATTGGGAGTAGAATATGTGAGGAATAGTATCAACAGAGATGTGTATAGTGAAAAGTAATATCTATCCTTCATTTACATCTCTGAGCATTTCTGTTTTAGTATATTGGTTTGAAAATGTTGAACTTG